GCTGCTGGGTGTATGCTCGGCTGTTATGCGATTTTGCTGTTATGCGATTTTACCACACTCGCAAAATCGCACACAGCCGACCATATAACAAACTCTGTATTTTGAGTGGAAATGTTAGGGGGTCGTCTTATATGCCGAGTCGTCTTATACGCCGGCAAATACGGTAATATTAAGTCAAACTCTTGGTCCTAGCGGAAGATGACCACTGTCAGACATTTTCATCAGTTTTAGTAACACCCAAGTAAGTATTAAATCATATCATACGAGACTCAGGGAAAAACATGTGTGGCTGATCTCCCCGTGGTTCTTCTGGCCGTGGCTCCACCACCACCATCCGGCCGTGGGCTGGCAGCCGAGTTCCCACAGGGTCCAGTTTGACTGTACACTCCAGGTGAGCTGTCCGATCGTAGTCAAATCTAAGCAGGTTCTTATCAATGGCTTGGGACAGGCCATAAAATTCAGACACCTCCAGTACATTGTTACTCGTGCGGATGATGTTACAGTCTGGCTCCAGAAGATAAACCCGCAGGATGAAGGTTTCCATGAAGGTGTCTGTCTCAGTAAATCTGGCAGGAGAACAGAACAAAGGCAATACTTATTGGCGTGCAGGTACTTTTGACACCTGTGTGCTTGGACTGAAGCTTAAAGACTGGCCTTTGCAGGGGGCGCCGGTTAGCTCAGGAGGTTAGAGCGCAGGCTCATAACACCAAGGTTGCCAGTTCAATTCCCACATGGGTCAAGGAGCTGCGCCCTCCACAACTAGATTGAAGACAACTACTTGACTTGGAGCTGATGGGTCCTGGAAAAACACACTGTTCCCCAATAAAATTTCTTTTAAAAAAAAAAAAGACTGGCCTTCACAAAATCTGGTTATTGGGTAGAGTTTGGATTTTATTTCATACTCTGTTCCCAATCTCTCTGTTCTTTTTCTTTCTCATCTTGCTGTCAACCGCTTTCTCTGCCGCTTTCATCTCCTATGACCTTTCTTTCAGTACCTGCTCTCAAGCCCGTCACTCATACTGACATTTAATGATTGCTATGAGCTCAGAGTCTCACTTCTAGCACATATCAAATTTAAGAGTATGAAGCTTGTATACTTTATGGGCTGAGTTTTCATTCAGGAGTGAAAGGGAGAGGAGTTTCTGAAGCATTGAGGCCTTTCTATTCTTCAAAAATGCCATTACAAGCACAGTTTTTACAGCCTAGTTTGGGTTCCCAGTTTAGTGCTTGGCATGTGAAAGGTACTCAATGATTGTTACTTCCATTCCTTCCGATACTTTAGTGACTATGTTCTTCAGGTATTTGCAGGGAGAAAATGAATGAGGGATGGGCGTGCATCCATAATGCAGCTCTTAATTGATGTGCTTTTATTATGGCCCAGGCTAATGCTAAACTATTTACAAAGAGTGTCTCGGGCCGGCCGAGTGGCGCGATGGTTAAGAACTCGCTTGGGATGCCAGAGGGCCCCGGTTCGGATCCCACATATGAGGGCCAGTGACACTGCCCTCNAAAAAAAAAAAAAAAAACTAGAAGAAATTATGGGTGAATAGTCATTTAGCCACGTGATGAGAATGGATTTGTACAAGCATAAAAATAATTTTTAAAAGATAGAAATTTTTAAATATAGTATAAATTCAATTCCATAAAACAATATGTGCATGTCTCCCCACTGTATTTCTGTCTAAAAATGGTTGAAATACAGCTAGTTTTATTTTATTATTTCGCTGTTTTTAAAAAAATATTCTCTGCAGTGAGCATACTACTTTTATATTCATAAGAGAACCTGTTGTATGACATGTCAAATTGACTATGGAATAGCTAATTAGTTAATAGTTAATTCTGTATAAAACAAGAAGGTCATTTGAAGGGGTAAACGCTCAGTAAAACTGATTTGAAAATATAAACAAAGCCCTACCTCAATATAGAGAGGAAAAAGAAGAAAAATCAATCAAGAAAAAAATGCTCTAATGTTTTTAATGGAGACAAGAAAGCATTAAAAGCGAAAGGAGTATCATGTCAAAACAAACAGAAGGTATCTACTAGTAGTTAGGAGACAGAGTTTTGTCTTGGCTCAGCCATAAAACAACCATGTAATATATGGGCAAGGAATGCAATTTCTCTGGCCACCACTGTTGCATTAAATAAACCCGTTATTTCTAAACCTAGCTAAAGATCAGTTTCTTACCGGGTGGCTTTTTAACTAACAAAATATGGGTAGTGCTTACTATGTGCCAGGTTTTGTGTGAAGTGCTTTATAAGTATTATTTCATTTAATACTCTCAATTACTCTAAAAAGTAGGTAATATTATTCCCATTTTAAGATTAAAGAAATGAAGAACAAAGTTCAAAGTCACCCAGCTAGTTAAGTAAACATTTGAACCCAGGCGATCTGGGCCCAGTGATCTTAACTATTAAACGTTAGGCTCAAATCTATCCTTTAAGAGCTCTCTAAGTAACTTGCCCGATCAATCTGACAGACTACCTCAAAGTCTTTCTCCAAATCTCAATTCTAAATTTTTATGATCCTCTTTTATCATCTCCTTATTATTCCATGTCTTATCAATTTCTTGGGGGTAGCATTGTTCAATAATTGTGTCTCAGGAGAAATCCTAGTGAGAAGTCAGACTGTGAAAGGTGGAGGTTTTTCACAAAGGTCTTCTTGGATCGTTGCATATCAGCACAAAATCCAAGTTGTTTCAGTTTCCCAGCTGCCCAATTAAATTATAGAATATGGACATAAATCAGTAGAAAAGCATATTAAATATTTCGTACAAATTGATTCCACTTTATACCATCATTTCAATGTGGAGAGATCAAGAAGAAAGAACAGGAGAATATAAAAGAAATTGGAAGATGGAGGACTTTGGGGGCCTGTCTCCTTGATGACACAGCCCTCCATCTCAAAGGCTGGAAGAGTGGAAAGTATATAATCTGCTGCTACCATAAAATTGGGACTGAAGTCCCCTCCCTCCCAGTTTCCTGGCCTTGCAGAGTAGGTATGGGGATCCCCTGATTTCCTCTAACAGGTGAAAAGTAGTTCTAATAAAGAAGGCGGAAATGAGGCATCAAAGAGAAGATCAAATGACAAGCTAAAGAGTAAGGAAGAGGAGGAGTGAAGAAGGGTAGCATGTAACCAGCCCGAGTCCAGACAGAAGAGAGCCAAGTGGTTTCATCTGGTACACAGTCACCCCAGCGACTTATCCTGATATTATACACAGAAGCTACTGCTTTAAGCACTTACTGGCAGACTAAACAAGCCTGCAGCTCTAATGAGTCACTGCACTGGGGGGTTCCAGCCACAATGCCCAGGAACTCCCCCCGGCATGGGAGCCAACATGAGCACCCCCATGGAACTGGCCTTCGCTGTGGATCAGCTGGGAGACATAGACACATAACCCCAAACTCTACCTTGTATACGACCTTACTCCTGCTGTCCGTGAGGTCCAGTCGGATGGAGATATAATCAATGTTAGGAGAAGGGGGCTCCATATGCTGATATCGAAGCCCCATCAGCAGGAACTCCTCACAGCTCACTTTGAGACTTCCTATGTTCTTCAGTCCCGGGGTACAGCTTCCACCTGGGCACTTGAGTTCTGTTTCCAGTTCTAGAATGAATTATGATAGTCACTTGAACATAACGGTTGCAAAATTTAAAAGCCAGTCCTCCCTCCCATGGGTACTTATTCCCTCTCACTGCCCCAAGAATACTCATGTGTACCCTCCAATCATTCACTCAGTGGGTTGTCATTATTCTAAAAACCTGTGGCATCTTTTACTGAAAAGAACAGTTGACCAGTCGTCTCATGAGATGTAACTAGAAGTTACACAGAGAAAAAAATAATAAAATGCATTTTCTGGTGCTTGAACGTTTCTGACAGATAGGCCAGTGGCTCGCTGTAAGCCTTCGATAGTCAAGCTCCAGTCTGATTTTGCAGCATCCACCTCCGTGACTCCACCACGCAATTTCTCTCTACTAGACCCTTCTACTCACTGACATTTTCTCCCCATTGTGCTTGTCACACCCTTGAGTCCTGCATATCTTTCCAGGCCCACTTAGTCTTTTTACTAAACCTTCCCTTAAACATTCTTTGGCCAACTGCTCTCTCCCACTTTAAACCATAGCTTTTTATGTCTCTCCCAACTGCATTTTCACTCTTGCAGGGTGTATGATACACATAAGCCACTTATTTTTCAAATGGCCTTTTGTTTAGTTCCCTGAGGCAGAAAATGGATATTCTTCTTCTTAACCAGATGGCTGTGAAGACTGAATGAGATGACTTATGTGCCAGCATGTCTTTAACTGTAAATAGCTATCCAGATTCAAGGTATTTCTATAAGTATGATTATCCCTCATAATTTCTTGGTTCTCCCATATAAGAGTTGCCCAAAATATATTGATTGAATAAATAACAGAAAGAAAATTAACTATCAACTGTTCTTGATTTAAACCATGGCTGCTGTTCTACCAGCTCTACCTCAAATCTGCCCATAATCTAATAATGCTTCATAAATACACCAACTACTTCTACTACAGCTGCCATTTTTGCTATCACTAATAACAGATGACAATTCTTGAGCACTTCCTATGAGCCAAATTGTGGAAATCATTTGTGCATGTGGTCTCTCTCATACACTCTATCCTTATACAAGCCTGTGGAGCAGCTACTATCCTTGCCCATTTCACAGAGGCTTAGGCAGGTTAAGTAACTTGCCTAAAAGCACAGGAAATAAATAGCAGAGGCAGTTTTCAAGCCCGGATCTTTAATGATTTCCAAGTCCATACTCTGAAAAACTAACCTACATTTTTCAACCAGCTACAAGTACCGTATTTGCCGGCGTATAAGACGA